TTAATACCATATGCATACACACAAGAAGCAGTTGTCTCAGGCCTAACCATTTTCGTTGCACCTTTTCCGTTGCATCATTTCCGTTGCACCATTTCCGTGTGCAATTTCCGTTGAATTTGCCAATTTACTCCCAACCAACCAACCGCCGCTACAGAAGTTTCACTTCAAAAATCGATAGGACACTCAATCGTTACTTGCCGTCACTAATTTTTGACGTTTCTAACTATTTTCGCTTTTTCAACATTGCATCAAAATACTTCTGCAATGCCAAAAACCTACACCAAAAAAAAATCCGCGAAGAGTGAATTAAACATCCTGAGTTAAACAACTGGATTGTGGAAGATTTGAATGATTCCAAGAAAGCATTGTGCAAGTATTGCACCTGGACGTTACACGACTTCTTCGCAGCGTCATCCAATACGGGTTTTAAATCTAGTGGCGGCATCTTCCTAGTCGCCAAGGAATACCGAGGGATCATACAGTGACTTTTTTCTGCCTCTTGCTTGATCCTAGACATCGGACCTTTCGTTTTTCCAGCAAATATCTGCACACTTGCTCCATTTCAAAACATTTTTCTGTACAAATTTGTCGATAGCTTTAAAAATTTCGTCACTAGGGGTGCAAGTCTCAAGTACTTCGCTCATAAAAAGTTCTTCTCCGATTTGCATTCCGAATGGGTACAGTACAGTACAGTAACACGAGAAGCACATTAAGTCCCACTACGTCGGTACTTTCGGCAAGTTGCAAAAAAAAAAAATTCACAAGTTTTCAAACTTTTTTCGTTCGTTCGTTCTCGACTGCCTCCAAAATCGTGTTAATTCGCTCTTTCACAGTGAGATTGTGAAGTTCCAAAGAATAAGTAACATATACACTTGCGCCCAGCCAGCAAAAAATCCGAAAATTCATCCGAAACCAGGAAAAAAGTGGATGACGCGGATTAGCTCTACGAAAGTACCGAAAATGGTTGTGAAAAGGGTACGTTTTAAGCAATTTTTCGGATTCAATATTTCGTTGACAAAACGTACTGGGGAACCATGATTCGATAATAAAAGATTTGCTCAGAAAACAGTTTTCTCGCTCCCACCTGACAAAATCGGCTCCCTTAGTGTGTGGGTGCGTGTGTGTGTGCAATCTTTTGTAAGGGAGTTAAGGGAGTGTCAAAACTCTAATGTCGCTAATGAGCAAACCTTTAGTTATTGGCTGCATTTCTTTATTCATTCTGAACATTTGGAATAAACTTGTTTGTTTACTTATTCTTTAGAATGTTCCTGAGGATATGCTAACGTATGTATATTTCAAACGTATTCTGTTTATTCCGGCTGTGAAATGGGATTATCCGGAATGTATAAAGAAACGCAGCCATTAAATCATGCTGGGGAACCATGATACAAAAAAGAAGGTATGTAGTTTCAATAAAAAAAACTTTTTGATTAAGAGCGTGTGTGAATCGGCAACAAAGTTCGCGGCGAATAAATTTTTGACAACTATGAGGTGAATAAAATTTCAGTAGCTCATGAGGCTAGTGAAATTTTTGACAAATGCATAGAAAATTTTGACTATCGCAAAGATTGTTGATGTGTGTAATTTTTCGTTAAATAAAAGCTTAAATTGATGAATTGCATTCAACGATGGTAGATGTTTTCTTAAAATATTAATTTCACTTCAATTTGTAATATTTTATTCCGCATAAATCTTCGGTTATCAAAAATTTACTGCTGTCAAAAAATATTTCATTTGACACAGCAGATTGGCAAAACTGTCTCACCATAGTAAAAGTATTACTCAACAGCTTTCCCCATAGAACTTTGTTACCGATTCACACACGCCCTAAAAAGCAGATTTTTGACAATTGCTCAATTCAATTGCTCGAAACAGCGTTACCCAATTTAAGTTTTTTGGTAGAGAGGTAGATTTTATATCACAAATTTGGGATTATACATAAAATAGTTTTAATATCATTTACCGTTTAAAAGTAATTCAAATCTTATCTTACAAATGTTTAAATTTTACACTAAATACGATTACCACTTCTCAAAGACTTTATTTTTAAATTAATTAAATTTTAGTGAACATATACATATGTACATATATGTAAGTATTTTAAAAATTTTGTATGTCCTTTTGTCATCTGATTATTTTACCTTTCTGAAAATGGGGTAAAATTAGCATTTTGCCAGAAAATGTAAACTCGGGTTACTCGGATTTACGCGCAGAAAACCTTTCCGTGTTGGAGGCCTTCGGCCGCAATTAGAAAACATAACCCTAATCTGCCCAACTCCGGCTACACAGTTTTTTTTTTTTACAAAAAAGTGCATACTCCACACGGAATTTATTAACAATTTAGTGTTTTTATTTGGGTTACGCGTGTGGACAAAATAACCCAAAATCATTGTACAAACAACCGAACCATACCCAACAAAAGACCGCCGCTAGCTTGTTCAAATTTCGATTCTAAGAACAAAATACTTTAAATAAACAAAAATTTAATAATAAAATTTGAAGAATTTTAGATATTGGATATGGTAGCACGAAATGTCACAATCTGCTTGATTGCCAGGTTGTTAATATGCCGACGAAAAAGTGACAATGGAACTACCTTCTTTTTTGTGTATAATGGTAAAACCATTCTCTCAATTCGTCGGCCATGATTTTTTTTTCTGAGGTTTGCAAACATTTTAAAATCATATAAAATTGAAAGTAAAAAAATGAAATTGTTCACAATTGTTGTTGTTTCCCACTGGTTACGTGGTAAGCCATGTTTTCTTTCAGTTTTTAGTAACAAAATTGTCATCATGGCCATCAACGTTAAAGTGAGGGAGGAGAGGCTTACCTCGTAAGGTGCCTACCTACATATTTTCTCAGTGGGTTGAGATTAAAAATGAGAATGTGTGTGTGTGAGCTTGAGTACGAATTTTAAAATTATATTGCTGGCAAACGTCAGACTGCCTCTGAAAGATTTTACCTTGTAATGGTTTTATCATGCTTTGTCCTATCATTTTCAAATGCTCGTAACTCAGGGAATTTTTTTTTTCGTAAAATAAAAAATACGTGTCTCTTTATTTGCCCTAAAAACATGAAAAATCATATTAAACTTGATTCCGAATTTTTAACCCACTCACCCTGCATGAATTGGAATAGAATCCGCCTATAGTGACACGACCAATAGATTTTTTAGTTTGAACCTCCAAAATTACTTCCCTGCGCACGGGTCTGGGTTAGAAAAATGAATTCTAATCCTTTTTGATATACATACATATGCATATATGTATGCACGTATGTACGTTTGTACGTATGTTTTTTTTTTTTACGAGGAGGAAGCATCGAAAGCCTAACCCCGTCAGTGTGAGACTTTAACCCAAACTAAACCTCCTACCGTCATGAACCGTTCCCCTCCCGGTACCACCATCAAGTATTTCGTCGGGAGGTGGGTTGAGCACGAAGCTCTACATTCGTTGCAGTCCTGATACAGTCCGTTTGAAAGTTGCATCAACTTGGAGCCGTCCTTTGTCTTCGAAAAAGCACCCACCCTTGTCAGGTCCATGCGTCCCCGCCCGCCATGTTTCGTCCGCCTATTACGTAACGCCTCAGCTTATCTTCTTGCCTCAGCAGCTAGTGCCTCGACAAAGATCGCGCCTGGTGATAGATATTTCATCTGTGCGTAGTTATGTGTCGTCCATTTCGACGCTGCTCATCTCTTCTCAGTTGGGTCAAAATGTGCATGACTGCATTGTTCACCGCTTCCCATTTTTCAACGGATTCTATCATGTGGACTACCATGTTTTCAGGTGTGGGGTGTTCTCCAAATACAGAGCGAATGTGGTTTCTATCCAGATCGAATCTCGGGCAGTGGAACAAAACATGTTCGACGTCTTCGATAATGCCATCACCACACGCTTCGCAATGGTCAAGCTCTTCGTGTTTGAAGCGTTTCAGGTACGATCTGAAGCAGCCGTGGCCGGTGAGCATCTGGGTTAAATGGAAGTTAACTTCGCCGTGCGGGCGGGAGATCCATTTTTCGATGTTTTGTATTAGTCATTGTGTCCAGCGTCCGTTGGACGATTCGTCCCATTTCTTCTGCCACATCTCTAGCGTGTGTTTACGGGCTAGTGCTTTCCTAGCAGGAAGTGTTAAATTGCTAGGTGTATTCATTGACAGTTCTATCGCCAGAAGCTCTATTGGGTGTAATCCAGAGTGTACTAAAGCGGCGTCTTCGGATAGGGTACTATAGGCAAAGCAAACCCTTAGCGCACATAGCCGGTAGACAGACCTGAGACCGCGAACATATGACCTTACTTCCACTGCGTAACTCCACACTTGTGCGCCGTAAAGTATCACAGATTTGAGAACCCCGGCTAGCAATCTTCTGCGGGCTTGTTTTGGCCCTCGGAGGTTTAGCATCATTTTAGTCAGGGCGCAACACACCTTACTCGCTTTCTCGCAGTTAAATTCGAGATGCTCCTTGAAAGTTAGTCTTGCGTCAATCATTACACCAAGATATTTTATGGCAGGCTTTGTGAAGATTTCGCAGTCCCTAAGTTGTAGAGTGAGGCTCTCGCGGATTTTCCTTCCAGTGACTAGGACTGCCTCCGTCTTATGCTGAGCTAACTCCAGCCCCATTGAGTCCAGCCACTGTGACACCATCATTATTGCAGCGGTTGCAGCTGCCTTTATCTCGTATATATGTTTTGCTACTACGACAATAGCTATGTCGTCAGCGAATCCCACTATCGTTACATCCTTCGGGAGCCGCAGTCGAAGTACTCCGTCGTACATCACGTTCCAAAGAAGCGGTCCCAGCACCGAGGCTTGAGGAACCCCGCCGGTAATCTTGAATGTTTTGATATGTACGTTTGTATGTATGTATGTATGTATGTATGTATGCATGTCGTTTATTAAGCAAACGGGCGATCTAAGTAATTACTGCTTTCAGACACCCGCCGTACGACGACAAACCACTCGGCGGAGCTGGTTTATTGAATTTTCACATCCATTTTGTCATGGGGGTTTTTGTCAGGTACGGTCTTTCTGAAAAAATTGTGTGTTTTCAAAATTAAAAAGTATTACTTATTATTGTTTTGAACGCTATATACATACATATCTACATACATACATACATACGTATGTTAAAAAAGTAAAATAATTGAATAAGCCGAAAATGAAAGCGGAGTGGTCGAAAGCGTTTATTATACGGCCGCGGGACAATCTACAGTCTCATGTCTACATAAAACAGAAGAAATTTGTGCCCTCATACGAGAGTGACGTAAGTTTCCAGAACTTAACTTTATTCAGCAAAAAAAAAAAAAAAACAATTTTTTAACCGTTTTATATTTGTAGCCTTGCCCTGTACCGATGAACTGGCTGATGGGTTGGGAGTACGCGCGCATCTGGTTGCGCGAGCGTGATGATTATATTAACGAGCGTCTGCGCAAATCCAAAGCAAAACGAATTAAAAACGACTATACACGATGGCTAGCAAAACGGCAAATTAAACCAAAAAAAAGTTAGCTAGCCAAGCATTCTAATGGATCCCACTGGAATCTAATATATTTTGTTTGTAGAACCTTAAGACTGCTTTCCTAAACTGATGAATTTCACAAATCTTTACTAACTATTCCGTTTCGTACAAAAAAATTAAGTATAACGATTGCTTAAATTNATTGTTGGAAGCATAAATTTTGAATAAATTAGCTTCAATATTTACTGATTTATCGAA